GCTTGTGCTTGAAGGTCGGCTGTGGGGGGGGGGGCTCTGCAACTTACTTGGCTGCTTCTCACTCCTCATGGCCTGACTGAGGGTTGCTGGGAGCAGGGGGCGGGGCTTGTTGCATGTACCCACCCCCCATGGCTCCTTACTGCCGGAGCTCCGCTCCTGTGTGCTCCCGCAGGAAATGACCCCTGCGGCTACCCATCTTGATCTATCTCCTTCCCCCAGTATGTTTGACAAAACACAAGACAAAGGGAAAGGTTCAGCCGGATAATTTTTCATAGCCTGCGGCATCAAATATGTGCTTGGAAGGTGGACATCATTACCTTCCCCAATGTTCCTTGTGTAGCGCGCAACTTTTTTGGGGGGGAGGGTTGGACTAGATGACCCTGGAGGTACCCCTTCCAACTCTATGATTCTAAAATACCCTATAAGGAATCCCTTCCCCCAAACACCTTGGGCAAGTAATTCAGGATAAAGTATAAGTACTACAAATGGGAAAAGAAAAGGAAAGAGGCATCCACAGTTGGGATAGGATATAGGTAAAACCCCAAAATTCCATGCACACCTACGTCAGCATTACTACAGTGACTTTGAAAGATATACAGCCACTATCTAGCCGGGCACAGTCTTCTCCAAGGACACTTCTCGTGTGAAAGATGTCTTGGGGCCCACTTAGGACAATTACCAAGCAATCCTCCCTAGCAGACTACTCACACTCGCCACCCCCCCTTAGGAATGCAATGGCAAGTGAGAGCAGTGATAAGGATACAGAATACAAGTGTAAATCAAGCATGGACAATTCAGCAATGCAGGTGCTCGAGTCTGACAGAAGCAAGGTACGTGAGACAAAGACTGAACGATTCAATGTGTTCACAACTAATGGATGTTTGAGGAAACCCGCGTTTTCTAATACCTTCCTAGAGTCTTACTACTTCCTGCCAGTAGCCGCCCAAAAACGGCTCTTTGCAAGCATGCTGGAGACCAAGTTCTACGAGGAAAGGTTGAAGGAGCCGGGTATGTTTAGCCTGGAGAGGAGGCGACTGAGAGGTGATAGGAGAACCACCTTCAAGTACCTGAAGGATGGTGCGGAGTTGTTTTCTGTTGCCCCGGAAGGTCGGACCAGAACCGCGTGTTGAAATTAAATCAGGAAGAGTTTTTGGCTAAACATCAGGAAGAACTTCCGGACAGTTAGGTCGGTTCCTCTGTGGAACAGGCTTCCTCGGGAAGTGGTGGGCTCTCCTCCTTTGGAGGTTTTTAAATAAAGGCTTAGATGGCCATCTGACAGCAACGCTGATTCTGCGAACTTAGGGTCAGATCATGAAAAAGAGGGCAGGAAGGGTTGCCTCAGCGCTCCGTTCTCGTGGCCCCTTCTCTTAAATGCCCATGGAAATGCCAATCGCCAGTTTGGAGTCAGGAAGCCATTTTCCCCAGGCCAGTTTGGGGTTTGTTTTCTTTCTTTCTTTCTTTCTTTCTTTCTCTCTCTCTCTCTCTCTCTCTCTCTCTCTCTCTCTCTCTTTCTTTCTTTGCCATCTTCTGAGCATGGAGCAGGGGTCACTGGGTGTGTGTGTGGGGGGGAGGTAATTGTGAAGTTCCAGCATTGTGCAGGAGATTGGACTAGATGACCCTGGAGATCCCTTCCAACTCTATGATTCTATGGCCTGTGTTTCTATGTTCAAGGTTGGAACGTGGGAATGATGCTGATGGGCGATAGAGCCAGGTGCATGGCATGCAGAAGGTCCCGGGTCCAATCCCTGGCATCTCTAGTAAGGATCGGGATGCAGGTGATGTAGGAGACCTCTACCAGAGATCCTGGAGAGCGGCTCCCAGTCCGAGTGGACCGATGCTCTAATTTTTGAGAATATCCCCCCTTTGAATTGTTAGCGGGCTGTGCCAAATTTACTGTGGAGTACATGTTCCTTGTTGATGAATGTGTAAGCTTATTACGCTGGACAGGAGACCAGGAGACTAGCACCAAGGTTACTCCTGTGGGAGGCTTGAAAAGTTTTTCTCACTGTCTCATTCAGTATCGAATCATTTTCACGGTAACAGCAACTGAAGTAGAACTCTTATGGAAACAAGGGAATGATACCAGGACCTTGTATCGCTGTTACTCTTAACTCTGAATGTATTACTCCTCACTGTTACTGTTATTTCTGAATGCACTGTTATTGCAATTGTAACTTTGAATGTTATTGTTCCCAAGTATATAGGATGTCTCGGCCATTGGTTAGTTTGATTGTTTAACTACATCCTATTTGGTCCGTTGGCAACTGGAATCTTGCCGTTTTTGTGAGTTCATTGGTACTGGTGTCGTTTTTGACTACAGTGTGGCATTGTTTTCAATGGAGTTTCAGTTGTTAATTCTTACTGGTGGAACTTTTATATGATTTGGGAGTCTCTGGGATGCAGCCTATTTTTGGAGTTTATCATATTTGGTTAAGGTAAAGGTTCCCTTGCTCGAAAGCCAGTCGAGTCCGACTCTAGGGTTGCGGTGCTCATCTCCGTTTCAAAGCTGAAGAGCCAGCGCTGTCCGAAGACATTTTCCGTGGTCATGTGGCCGGCATGACTAAACACCAAGGCGCACGGAACGCTGTTACCTTCCCACCGAAGTGGTACCTATTCATCTACTTGCAATTTCTTCCTTTCGAACTGCCAGGTTGGCAGGAGCTGGAACTAGAGACGGGAGCTCACTCCGTCTTGCGGCACCCAGGTCTCAAACTGCTGAACGACCGACCTTCCACAGCCTGCAGTTCAGCGTCTTAACCACTTGAGCCACCGCAGCTCCCTATATTTAGTCACAGCAACCTTTTTCTAATTCAGCATAAAGCCGCTTCATGTGTTCATGTCCTATTTACCAGGCAGCCTCGGTCCATGCACCCTCTTCTGACTGGCCTTCCTCTCAGGTTTACACAAACAGCAGCCACACTGAAATTACACACAGCTGCCAAGCAGGGCGCCCTTCAGAAAAATCAGCAGTGGATATTAAAGCCAGAGAGCTCTTATGCCTCGCACACGTTATGCCCTTCAGGGCTTCAGATGTTCCAGGTCAGCTTTGGTCAGCTAAACGGCACGGCACGGCTTTGCTGACTCTCTGGAGCAGACATGCGCACCTCATGGCAAGTGGATAACAAAGCATTTAATAAACATTACTATTGTCAAACTTGCCATGCATTTTATGGCTCGTTTGTCATAGCAAGGGTGTGTGTGTGTGGGAGAGTGTGAAACTCAAATGCTTTCGCTTTTGGCAGGTTGCTTTGTAGTAGCAGGCATCCTTATCACCTCTGAGAAACCAGAGGTCCTTGGAACTCAGCTTTCGCAGCTCGGCTTCATTTTACATGCTGGGGGGGGATGGCATAGTAAGGGGGGTTGCTGGCCATTGCTTTTGGCGGGTAGAATACCAAGGGGTGATTGGTCCTGGGTCTTTAGGGCCCATGCTTGAACCATCTATATCTATTGCATTCGTACCTTTTAACCTCAGTTCTAACACAGACAGGTCTGGTCTGGATTCTATCAATGTCTCAATAAACCTATCATTCCCCAGAGTGTTGGGAACTGATTTATCCAGGAGTATGACAGCTATGAGCAGCCTTCGAGTCCTACCGGCTGTGTTGTTTTTTTAAAACCCTCATCTCATTGATTGTCCAAAACTGATGCTGCACAGCATTCTATCAGCTGACTGCTTCCTGTGAAGAAGGACGTATGTGCGAAGCTGCCTTATCATGAATCAGACCACTGGTCCATCAAGGTCAGTATTGTTTATTCAGAATGGCAACGGCTCCCCTGGGACCTTCTGCTTGCAACGCAGACGAAAAAAAAAGCCACGGCCCCTCCCCAACAAGCATATGAAGCTGCCTTATACTGAATCAGACCCTTGGCTCTGTCAAGGTCAGTATTGCTTACTCAGACTGGCAGCAGCTCTCCAGGGTTTC